TAAAGATGGTGACAAAGGTGTCCCAAGATGGAGGCGGCTACTTTTGGTGCTGGGGTGTTGGGTCTGGTGGGGCCTGGTGGTGGTGTTGGGCAGAATGTTCAGAGATGCTGCTCTGTGGCTTACAGTGTTGTGGCTGGTGGCTGACTGCAGACTCTGTGTAGTGTCCTCAGGTGCAGGCTACTGCATGTAGGGGACTCCCACAGTGGTTGCAGTATCCCAAGATGGAGGCCACCTGGGCAAGCCCCACGTTAGTAGATGGGGGTCCACACAGGCATGGTGGCCAGAGGTCCAATGCATGGGCTGCTGTCGAGAGTCCTCTAATATCTTGCAGAGGAACAGTCTTCCCACTACTTGAATCCCAGGTCACGGAGCAACACAGAATGCAGCCTCCCTCTGGCCCATCATCTTTGATCCTCCCAGAATTCTTAATAGAGATCTGCATTGTCTTTTCCGAAACTTAGCCCCTGGCAGAGCAATAAGGGTTTTCATTTTAAATGTGGAAATCCACAAAGTTTTAGAAGTTAATGATTTTTATGAGGAGCTTTATTCTGCAAAAGTGGGGAAATATGTACTTTGTTCCACTTGAGAACTACTAAGGGAAAATATAATGCTTATATTTTCTTTCCCAGTGAGTCATGTTTTGTTTTGATGTTCCTTTAAATCAGTGTTTTAAAGTGCTGTCAGCAATAATTTGGTATCTCAAGATAAAACTAATAAGTACAGAAACTTTTAATTCCTAGCTTATTCGGGAGACCTTCTCGGAGTTACTTCAGTTATGTGTAATTTACATAGGAATGGCTGTGGCTAAGTATTGGATGGCCAGTGGGTTAATGAATATAGTGTGTTAGAAGCAGCTATTAAACAGATATATGTTGTGCTTTGTTTAGTGCGCCCTTGAAGAATTTCTTTGAATTACATGACTGAAAAAACCTAAAATATTAACCTCTAGTATGGATTTTTCTGATTGTTATAAGAGAAGGCATATGAAAGACTTCCTCCCTTTTAATATTATACTTAGATGTTGAGTGTAGCTCTGTCTTGTGTATTCATTGAAAAAAATGCAAGTGAACAACTTCTAGAGTGGGAGAAAAACAGGAAAGAAAGGAACTAGTAACTCCATACTTTTTTCAGTTTAAGCAAAGTTACTAAATGCCCATATGTGCAAAGTTCCCTGCAGGAAAATGGACTAAGATAGACTCTTGATGTAGAGTATTTATGTGTGTAGACACGTATATTTGTGTATATGTGTGTATGACACTTCTCATATATATGTGATGTGTCTGTTATATGATGTTATCTTTTATAATCTACCTCATGTTTGCAGCATATTGTAGGGACTTTTTATAATTTACTGTTACAATGAACTAGCTTAAAATTTTTATAAAAAGTTATTTTGAAAAAAATTGTGGGCAATTTACAATTTTTATCCAAAGGAGATTGTTCGAAAAGCATCATCATAGAGTGGCATTGAACTATGCATGCCTGTAATCCCTGTGATTTAGAAGGCTGAGGCAGAAGGATCGAAAGTTGAAAGTCAGCCTCCATTTCCCTGCAAATTCCATGATTTTGTCATTTTTTAGTGCTGCGTAATGCTCCATGGTGTATAAATGCCACATTTTTTTTATCCATTCATCTATTGAAGGGCATCTGGGTTGGTTCCACAGTCTAGCAATTGTGAATTGTGCTGCTATGAACATCGATGTGGCAGTATCCCTGTAGTACGTTCTTTTAAGGTCTTCAGGGAATAGTCCGAGAAGGGCAATAGCTGGGTCAAATGGTGGTTCCATTCCCAGCTTTCCCAGAAATCTCCATACTGCTTTCCAAATTGGCCGCACCAGTTTGCAGTCCCACCAGCAATGTACAAGAGTACCCTTTTCGCCACATCCTCGCCAGCACTTGTTGTTGTTTGACTTCATATTGGCTGCCAATCTTACTGGAGTGAGATGGTATCTTAGGGTGGTTTTGATTTGCATTTCTCTGACTGCTAGAGATGGTGAGCATTTTTTCATGTACTTGTTGATTGATTGTATATCCTCCTCTGAGAAGTGTCTGTTCAGGTCCTTGGCCCATTTGTTGACTGGGTTATTTGTTATCTTATTGTCTAATTTTTTGAGTTCTTTGTATACTCTGGATATTAGGGCTCTATCTGAAGTGTGAAGAGTAAACTAAAAATGACAAAATCATGGAATTTGCAGGGAAATGGATGGCACTAGAGCAGATTATGCTTAGTGAAGCTAGCCAATCCCTAAAAAACAAATACCAAATGTCTTCTTTGATATAATGAGAGCAACTAAGAACAGAGCAGGGAGGAAGAGCAGGAAGAAAAGATTAACATTAAACAGAGACATGAGGTGGGAGGCAAAGGGAGAGAAAAGGGAAATTGCATGGTAATGGAGGGAGACCCTCATTGTTATACAAAATTACATATAAGAGGTTGTGAGGGGAATGGGAAAATAAACAAGGAGAGAAATGAATTACAGTAGATGGGGTAGAGAGAGAAGATGGGAGAGGAGGGGAGGGGGGATAGTTGAGGATAGGAAAGGTAGCAGAATACAACAGTTACTAATAGGGCATTATGTAAAAATGTGGATGTGTAACCGATGTGATTCTGCAATCTGTATTTGGGGTAAAATTGGGAGTTCATAACCAACTTGAATCTAATGCATGAAATATGATATGTCAAGAGCTTTGTAATGTTTTGAACAACTAATAAAAAATAAATTAAATAAAAAAAAAAAAAAAGAAAGTCAGCCTCAGCAACTTCGTGAGGCCCTAAGCAACTCAGTGAGACCCAGTCTCTAAATAAAAATGTAAAATAGGGCTGGGAATGTGGGTCAGTAGTCAAGTGTCCCTGTGCTCAATCTGGTACCAACAACAACAACAAAAAAACAAAAACAAAAAACAAAACTAAAAAAGGGAGAGAGAGAGTTAGAAAACCTGAGTCCGCATCAAACTGAACCTCTTTATAGCTGGCTGTGTGACCTTTGTAAATTGTGTGATCCTTTCTTTAAGCCCCTCTCTTCTAATCTTTAAGAGGCAAAATAATAGTGCCTTTCTCTTATGACTTTTGGGAAGATTAAAATGAAATGCTAATATATGTAGATGTTTAATTTTCTGCCTGGTGTATAAATGTGTATTCAATCATACTGGCGTGGCAGTCTTCCTTCTCCCCAAATTACATTATTGTTATTATTATTGTTATTTTGCAGAAGTTTAGTTAAATCTAAATTCTGTAGAATAAATGAAAAGTTGTATGGTACAGGAATGAAGAGCAAGAAGAGAAACCATTCCAAAAAAAAATAAAATAAAATAAACTGTGTATCCCTTTGGAAAAAATAATTCCTTAAATGTTTTCTTATTCTGTGCTACTGCAACAGAATATTATGAGTTTATAATGAACAGAAATGTATATAAATGTTCTATGTAAAGGTGCCAGAATCTCTCAAGGGCCTTCTTATTATGTTATCACATGTTGAAAGACAGATAAGACAAGAGTAGTCAGCTTTCCTTTTTATAAACCTCTAATCTCACTCAGAAAGGTAGAGTTTCGTGACCTAGTCATCTCTCAAAGATCCCACCTCTTCCTATAATAGTAGCAATTTTTTTTTTTTTTGGTACTGGGGAATTAATTAAACCCAGGGGCTTTTTACTACTTAGCTACATCCCCAGTACTTTTGATATTTTATTTTGACACAGGGTCTTGCTAAGTTGCTGAGGTTGGCATCAAATTTGCAATCATCTTCCTCAGTTCCCTGGAGTTTCTGGAATTACAGGTGTGTGCCACATACCTGGCCCAAATATTATTATTTACTGGTGGTATTTATAAAGTACTAATGCAGATAACATGGAGGTAAATAATGAGAATTTGATTGAATTGGTAATATTAAAAATGAGAAATATTTGGAATAGGTTTCTTTCAAGTATTCAACTCTTTTGTAGTGAGCTGACTAAAGCTGTATAAATTGGAAGTTATTTAAATATGACAGCTACAGTCAGAGTTTGTTTATAGGGCACAAGCTGTTTTAGTCCTGACTGTAAACTTTGTTGCTCTTGTTAGCTAAACTTTTACTGTATCTTTATCTTGATGTCAATTCTTAATTTAATGGTGTAATGGATGTGAATTGATTTGATTTTGATTTCATTCCGATTATTAGGGAATGATGAACTATGTTTAACTGTTGGCCTTCCATTTTAAGAGTTTTTAAAAATAATTTCTGGGCAACAGAATGTTAATCTGTGTATACTTGTGTAGTTTGCTCCTCGATATAAATTAATCTAATACATATTTTTAGACTTCATATCATTAAAAAGTATTATAATTATTATAGGATAGTGTTCTGCTTAGTATGCTTTTCAAATGGAAATGACCCATGGAAAACATTCCGGTGATATAACCATTTTAGACATTTGAATTAATAGACATGTTGAACGGAAAAAAGACTATATTGTGGGTTTCTTTTGTAATCTCTGGTAATTTTAAGTTATTTAGACAAAATATATCAATTTCTATTGCTTAATAATCATTACTACAAAACAGATTTTCAGTTTTATAGGAAATTAAATCTACTTATAATGTGTTTGAAATTAATTTCATAATATGTATATTTTTGCCAAATTTCAATAGTTGGTTAAGAAGCAAAATAATCTCTATACGTTGTAAAATCACAATATTTCTGTTACTTTCAGTACCTTTTTCTTTACCTTAATTACAAAATTCTAGAAAGATGAAGAATGAAATGACTGTAAAAATGTAGAGGATGCAGTTGAGGATATTAATAATGTATATTAAATGTGAGAGTTCAGAGAAGTTAGTCAAATTCACCATTTTTTTCATTCAATAGTGCATTGGGATGCATAAAAACAAAAATTAAGCTCTCAAAAGCCATTTGGATTTTTAAATAAAGTCTATTTCCAAAATTCAGGCAAAAAGAGTATAAAATGTTAGATCTACAATAGATAATGTTGGGGTGATATTTAGTGTTTTTTATCATGTTTTACAGCTCAACATGAACTCTGCTCCTACATTTATGCATTTTCCTCCGAAAGGCAGACCCAAGAGAGCTGATACTTTTGACCTTCAAAGAATTGGATTTGCAGCTGAACAGCTAGCAAAGTGGATTGCTGACAGAACAGACGTTCATGTATGCTTTCATTCCCCACATTGTAATAATAGACTTATTAGCTTGTTTTATTAGAGTATTTTAATAAGTCCATAGGATTTTAAAATTTGCATATGGATATTTGTTCTAGCATAGAGAAAACTATGTCTGATATCTAATGAATGATAAGCTGAACTTCCATTAGGTGAATTCAGATGGTTTTTAGAGCAATGGTTGGTTGATATTTTAAAAACTGTTAAAAAGTTCATGAGTTAGACCCAAGCTAATTGGAGAGGGGTGAAAATGCATTGAAAGTGGTTTAATAAAATTAGCAATTAAAGAAATTTAATTAAAAACCAAGTGATAAAAATTTTTATCTTTTGTGCAAATAGGAATAGAATTTAGAACCATATGAAAAAAATACCTACTTATGTGTACTGCTGTTACAACTGTAAATTGATGTAACTATTTTAACAGTATATGTTATAAATCTGTCTTTTGTAATTTAACTTAATTCTACTTCTAGGAATTTAACTTAAGGATGTAATTAGGAATGATTCAGATTCTTAGTCATAGAAAATTTTTAACAGCTTTCATTTTAATGGAAAAAATGGAAATAAATCAAATGTCTAAAAAATAAGAGACTCAATAAATGTGCTATGACATAGCCAAAAAATGATTTGCAAGAATATTTCTCATAGGATCAAACTCACGGTCTGCCAAGTGAGAAAATAATTTTGAAAGTATTTATAGTATGATCTAGAATTTTTTAAGAGCATAAATGTAAATATCGGTTGAAATAGACTGATTATTGTGAAAGGAGATGATGTTAATGATAACATCTAGGACTTAGAGCTATTTTTTTCCCTAATAATGTCATTATTTTCTGCATTGAACAAATTTAACCAGTTACTTTAAAAGTGCATTTATACTCAAAGTAATACAGAAGCATTCATTTTTACCAGTAGGTCTGTATACATTTAATCTAAGATAGTTGTCTCTCATGTGGACCAATTGGACAAATTGTGTTCACAGTGGTATCATAATTTTATTTGAGCTGCTACTGTCCATGTTAGAATTATTGAATCCTATTGTGTAGTTCCAATTAGAATGTTATACCTTTTATAACATTTTCCCACCTTTCAAGATCTATTCTAGAATAAGTCATTTCATTTAGTTATCTTTCTTATCTTGCTTTAATCTGGAATATTTCTATAGCCTGCTGGCTATCCTTTAGACACATTGACACTTGGAAAAATGGAATTTTTATCCTACTTTTTACAAAGAATGATTTCTCATTTGATCTACCTAATGTTTAGTCATATAGGATTCTGCTTATACTTTCTTAGCCACCATATTATGTAGGTCATGTTTTTTTTTTTTTTTAAATTATCTCCTGTATTTGTCCTATAAATTGTGAGGGGATATTATCTTCATGCTGTAATCACTCCAAGGTCAGGTACTAAGCAATTGGAGACCTCCTGCAGCCCAAAGCCTTTGGAAGTTATCCGAATCATATTTTCTGTCACGTATCACTTCTGGTATCTTTTTCATGTGGTGTGTGATGCCTGTTGTTTCTTGAACTTGTGAGTACAATCAAGTTGTTTTTATCTTGAACTTTTCCACCTGCATCTGACTAATCATATCACAAAAGAATACAAAACATATTATTTCCCCCTGTGGTTTGTAATTTATTGCTATTCTTAATTAATTTGGTTCTAAATTATATCAGAGTTCACTAGTGGGAGTCCTTCATGGTGACTCCTGTGTTCTGTGACATGCCTCATCATGTTAAATACTTTCTTATTTTCTGACCTAACAGTTAATTCCAGACTCTTCTTGTATCTACCCATTTACTCAACCTAACTTCAAAAGCCATCTCTCCAAAGATCCTTGGTTCTTTTTAGGAAGGAAAAGTTACTATAATCAAGAACTATATGTACTTTACAAATCATGAGTTCCTATCAGTTGTATCTATTTCTATTAAATAGCCTTTATACTTTAAAAGACAACATCAAGAGTGAGTAGACAGCCCACAGAATAGGGGAAATATTTTGCAAATCATTTTTCTGATTTATATTTAGTAATATATAATAAGGTTCTAAAATGCAATAAGGAAAAGACAAAACCCATTTAAAAGTGAGCCAAGGATCTGAATAAACATTTCCATATGGAGATTGTACAAAAGGACAATAAACCCATGGAAAGATGCTGAACTTTGTCATTCCTTAGGGAAACCAATCAAAAATCCAATGAGAAGGGCTAGTAAATTGGAAAAAAAAAAAAAAAAAAAAAAACTTGATTATTTCTCTTTCACTTTTAAAATTTTCATTTCATTTTTGCAGATTCGTGTTTTCAGACCACCGAACTACTCTGGTACCATTGCTTTGGCCCTGCTGGTGTCACTTGTTGGTGGTTTGCTCTATTTAAGAAGGAACAACTTGGAGTTCATCTATAATAAAACTGGTTGGGCCATGGTATCTTTGGTATGTGATTCACACTGTCTCTTTTTCACCTATTTCTTTGCATAATAGTTAAGTTTTATAATATTAGCAAAATGAGCCAGATTATTAATATAATGGATTCAAGTATGAATGAGAAGAATTCATTTTTTATGACTGTGATGATATAGTGTAAGTTCATTGTCAGTTTAATCTACACTATCTTCCTTCCACTTTTCACTATTAAAATGCAATGTTCCTAAGCACTTGGCACATTTCAAGTGCTAAATAACACATATTGAACATATTTAGAAAATCAGTAAGAATTGATAATGATAGCTTGAAGTAATTTGCAAACTGAAGCAATTTGCAAATGTATTCATTTTTTTCCAACTACTATTTCTACTGTTTGCCTGATGTTTCTTAGGTAGTGGGGTTAGTAGATAAAACACAGATCTGCCTATAATGAATTCATTGTGAGGATACAAACAAATCAATAGACAAATACAGATAAGGTTATTCCTGCTCTAATGGAGGGTAAGCAGGTAGAACTATAGGAATACAGAGAAAGAGTACTTACTCTAGAGTAAAGGGTATCCCAGAGTATGAGAGGAGCTAAATTTTAAAAAGTAATGAAATTCTTAAGGTCAAGTAATCAATGATAAGGATTATGGACTATTCAGAGGACTATATTTCTGTGTGGCTAGAGCAATGATGACAAAGCAAGAAGCAGTAAGAGATGATGCTGGGAAATAAAGAAGGCAGTTCTTGATCACAATGCTAAGACGTATGGGTTTTATCCCACAGGCAATGGGAATCCATTAAAATACTCCTGAGACAAATATCATGATTAAGTTTGTTAAAGTGATCACTGTAGTACATTTCATTTAAAGCAGTGGATTGATTTGGCAGATGGAATACTAGTTAAGATAATTTTGGAAGAACCATATGAACATGCTCCTTTCTGAATTTCTACAGAAGTATTTTTCTTCCTGATTCTTATGATCATGCTAAATTTCTTTAAATAATTAGCTAATAAAATAAAACATAAATATTATATAAGTAAAATGGATTCAGATTCTGATAGGTCTGGTGCTTACTAATTATATTAATTAAGACGTTGGTGTTAAAACATAAATATCACAAAATTCATATTATACGTATGGAAAATAAATAAAATGATTTCCTGATGTAGAGGGAATTATTATTATTATTATTATTATTATTATTTTAATGTAACTATTTTGAAAGACATGAGAGTAAAGCAAAAAATAGTAACATTAATAAATTGATGGGTTTATATGTGTGTGTGTGTGTGTGTGTGTGTGTGTTTAAGTGGAATAGTATCAAATTAGTTGGGATGAGTTTAAGGTACATAAATATTGTAATCTCCAGATGAACAACTGAAAATTAGCAAAGAGATATAGCTAGCAGGTAATAGAAGGATTAAAATATAAAACTAAAACTTACCTATAATTACAGAAGAAAAGAGGAAAAACACAAGAATAAAAAACAAATGAAGCAAGCTGGGTGTAGTGAGCATGTCTGTAATCCCAGCTACTTTATTCCATTTACTGGGAAGGCTGAGGAAGGAGGATCATAAATTTGAGTTCAACCTAGGCAAATTAGAAAGACTTGCCTCAAAAAAATAAAAGAAGTTGTGGCTGGGGAGGTAGCTTAGTGGTAGAGCGTTTGGCTAGCATGTGCAAGGCGCTGGGTTCAATCCCTAATACTACAAGAAACAAACTCGTCATGAAACAATATAAATTAAAAAATGGGAGAAAACCATAATCATATTAATGTGTTTATGTGCATTGTGTAAACAAACATAATACTCTAATAAAATGCAGTTTTCCCACAGGATAAAAGTCAGTGAGAAACTGGTGCAAGAGAAATACTTTAAAGGCAAAGGTACTAAAAACAAAAGAATAGAAAACTACAATACCCAAAACAGGCCTAAATAAATGAAGAGATACCCTATATTCAAGATCACAAAATTTTATATTGTCATGTTATATTTCCTTCAGATATACCTATGGTTTTTTTCTCCTGGTTAGAACTCCTAAGATGGTGATTGGGCACAAACATTAACGGGAGCGGTTTCTGGCACTGCTTTGGCTTCTGTATGAACAGGGATATAGCACTTGGGAAGTTGCAGCCAAGCAGCTCAGATGACTTCCCCATGCCCAGTGCTGTTTGGTAAGTGGCAGAGTTTGTGGATGCATCCTGGTTGCCACCCTTGTGCCACTTTTTTTATGCTGGTATATATTTGAGGCAAAAAGTTATAAACTCTACCTGAGTAGCCACTATCACAACTTCTCGAAGCCCACCTGAATCCAGCACAGACATGTCTAGCATTCAGATTACATGGAAATGATGGTGTCATTGCTGCTGCTATTCCTGATTGTGCTGTGCTATCTTGATGCTGACTCCAAACAAACAAACAAAAAACCCCACTGGAGTAACTCACTTTGCATGGCATCACTAAGTTGGACAAGATTATCTCCTTTATCTTGAAAGAGAACTAATGAAATTTCTAAGGTTTCTTGAGGCCTTTGCAGAGGAGCAACTGAAGGTGCATATATATTTCCTCCATTGAAGTTGTAGTCATTTATCAACACTAGATACTCATTCAAAGTTAATAGTTATTAGTAAGAATCAGCTTTCAGGGACTCCAACTGTCTTTGGTCCCTTTGTCATAGGGCTATAAAAAGTGGCTAGGAAACTATGTCTCAGCATTTTTAGAGTTTCTTTACTGGATTTTTTATTTGATCCAACAGCAAGTTTGGCTGGGGATTAGGAGCTTAAAAGAAAGAAAGACCAGTGGTTTCATCTTTAACCCAAAAGTTTCTGTAACAATCTGTAAGCACTTCCCAAGCATTGCTGGTGAGTGCCCCTTGGAATCTATTTCCCTGAACATCTGATGAAATGTCCCATGAGACCCTTAGGCTCTTGGAAAACTCAGAAGTCATCTCTTGAGTGCCCTGAGAGACCTTTAGGCTTTTTTATTCTTCTAGAGCAGCCATTTTGTTTAATTGCCCAATCTCTGCACTATGTCAATTTGCTGAGCTTTCAGATGTCAAGGCGGTAATTTAAAACGTAGCAGAAATGAAAGTAACAATCAATATTTATTTACTTACTAGGTCAGTTTATAAGCAAGACACCAAGAAGAACTGATTCATTTTTCCCCCCAGAATAGTACTGGGCAAGTATCAAATGATACTCATTGCAGACAGGGAAATCATCTTACTATGAAGGAGTCCGCTAAAGGTATCTGCCTTTATTAGACCTGATGGGGTAAAGGAATTCTGAGTCAACAGGGTTCCCAAAAATGTGTCAATGTCTCACCTAAGGCTCCTGGATAGTCTAGGAATACACACACACACACATACACGTGATATATATATATATATGCAAAACTGGCCTAGGAAGGGGAAGGGGAGCATGAGTATCTGACTACAATCAGAAAATGAATATACTGGCTGGGCACCAAGTCTGGTATGAAAAGGGCAGCCTTCTCTGCTCAACCATCATGAGGCCTTTTGGTTGCCTATTACAACACTTGAAAGATGAACACTTAACGCTTGTGTCTTGTATGTAGACTCATCACATTTTAACCAAGAGAAAGTTAAGGTGGCCATAAGGCAAATAGGATTTCAAACATATAAATAGTTACATTGTAAGGATTGAGAATAGAGTCTGCCATTTTGGCTTTAAGGACATAAACATAACCTGAAAGAAAAGATATCCTATGTAAATTGCCAACAGAATGACAGCAGGGGTGGCAGCATTTACTTTAGACAAAATAGACTTTAAGTCAAAAACAAGACAAAGAAAATTATTGTATAATAACGGAAGAGTCAGTTTATCAGATGTGTTTAATAATAGCATAAATATATGCACTCACAACATTGGAATGCATTTTATATATAAAGCAAATATTAATAGAGTCAAAAGGAAAAATCGACAGAAATACATAGGGAACTTCAGTGCCTCATTATTATTATTATTATTTTGGTACTGGGGATTGAACCCAGGACCTTGTGCATGAGAGGCAGCCCTCTACCAACTAAGCTATATCCCCATCCCCAGTGAATAAATCATCCAGTAAACCAATGAGGACACAGATGACTTGAGCAGCACCTTACACCAAATAAAACTAACAAGAATACACAGAAATTCCATTGCAACAGCAACAGAATACACATTCTTCTCAAGTACACATGATACATTCTTTAGGATAGATTATATGTTGGGAAATAAAACAAGTATTAACAAGTTTAATAAGATTGAAATAAACTCAAGTATGTTTTCTGACTAGTGATGTGAAACTATAAATTATCAAGACACAAATTAGAAAATTTACAAGTATATGGAAATTAGCACACAAGCAAGAAGATTAAAGAAGAAATCAAAGGGAAATAAATAAAAATATAAACATAGCATGTTAAATTTTGTGATATTTAGTGAAAGAATTCAAGAGAGAAGCTTATAGAAATAAACAACTTATGTGAAGAAAAAATTAGATCTCAAATAAACAGGCTGACATTTTACTCTAAGGATGAAAAAAAGAACAAACTAAGCCCAAAGTTAGCAGAGGAAAGGGGAAAAAAAACAGTAAGATATATAAAACAAAGACAATAATAATAGAATGATCAATGAAACGAAGAGTTATTTTTTTAAAACATAAAATAAACAAATCTTTACTAGCCTAACTATGAAGAAAGAAGATTCAAAAGGAAAAATGAAAGAAGAGACATTATAATTTATACCACAGTAGTACAGATAATCATTGAAAAGAAGATGTTTTCAAGGTCATTTTATAAGGCTAACATTACCCTGAAACCAAAGACTCTATAAGAATACTACATGCCAATATCCCTGATGAATATGAATGCAAAAATCTTCTATAAACTAATGGCAAACCAAATACACCAGTATATTAAAAGGATTATACATTGAGCTGGGGCTGTAGTTCAGTGGTTGAGTGCTTGCTTAGTACATCTGAGGCCCTGGGTTTGATCCTCAGCATCATATAAAAATAA